GAGCGGGAACCAGTCCGTATGTGGGATCCGAACCCTCGGACGGGAGCGCCGCCGCGCTTCCCAAGCGGCGCACTATCCAGTGCGCCACCGGGCCGGCCCTGGATTGGATTTTCTAATATCTTGTTTTTGAATGTTGCTTATATATTCATAAGTAAAATAGGGTAGAACTTTTATTTTCCTACTACTATCTTACCCTGGTTTGGTATGAGGGTTATTCTGGCTTCACAGAATAGGAGAGGAGAGTATTTCCTCTTTTTTATGGTTTAAAAGACTTTGTGTAAAATTGAGATAATATTTTTCTTGAAAATTTGGTAGAATTCATCTATAAAATTATCTGGGCTTTGTTTCCTTGTGGTAATTTTTAAGCTACTGTTTCAGTTTCTTTAATTATTATAGGACTATTCATGCTTTTTATTTCTTCTAGAGTCAGTTCTTATAAGTTATATTTTTCTAAAATTTGTCCTTCCTACCTGAGTTTTAATTCTCTTTATACTTTATATGTCCTACGAAATCTTTTTCATTAGTAATATTTATTTCTATCTTGATCAGTTTTCTTAGTTATTTTCTCTTTCTTTTTTTTTTTTTTTTTTTTTGTGACCAGTAAGGGAATCGCAACCCTTGGCTTGGTGTCGCCCACACCGCGCTCATCCAGTGAGTGCACCGGCCATCCCTATATAGGATCCGAACCCGTGGCGGGAGCGCCACTGTACACCCAAGCGCCACACTCTCCCAAGTGTGCCATGGGGCCGGCCCAATTTTCTCTTTCGTCAGTTGTTTTTCGTGAAAGAATCAACTATTTTGGCTTCATTAAACTTCTTCATTTTTCCTTTTCTATTTATTTTATTGATTTCTGCTCTAATTTTTAAAGAATTTTTTTTTTCTTTCTTTGGTTTTATATGTTAAACTTTTTCTACTTTCTTAGAATGGGAACTCAGAATAGAAAAAAACCTCAAAATTATAAACTGTTTAAAGCAATACATTTCCTTTTCCTGTTGCATCCAGTCAGTTTTGGTATCTTTGACATCATTCAGTTCTAGGTATTTTAAAATTTCCATTCTAATTTCTTATTTTGCTCATGAGTTAGTTAGCAACTTAAAAGTTTTTCCAAATATGTGGGGATTTTTTTTTTGTCATTTTGTTTGTAACTTCTAATTTAATTTTCTTATCATAGTCTGTGGTCTGTATGCCACCCTCTGTAAATTTGTTGGGGCTATCCTTAGGATTTAGTACATAATTGATTTTTGCAGACATTCCATATATACTTGAGAAAAAGTATGTTCTCTGATTGTTGCATCCGTAAGTCTGTGTATATTCTGTATTGTTTTGATCTCCTTCATATTCTTGCTGTTCTGTTGTTGTTATTATCTGTCCCCCACCATTTGAACTATCAGCAAGCGAGAAGGGTACATTGAAATCTCCCAAAATCCCACTGTGGTGATGGATTTATCAATTTCTCCCTTAAGGATCAAGATGTGCTTTGTATATTTTTGAGGTTGTTTTATTACTTGCATAATGTTTGAAACTATTATATCTTCCTGATGAACTCAACCTTTTATTATATAGTAACTTCTCCTTTAAAAATGCTTTTGTCCTAATATGTATTTTACCTAACATTAATATAGCCATTACAGCTTTTTTGGTTAGTATTCTCATGATATGTCTCTTTTACTTTCAGCTTTCACACATCGTTATGTTTTGGGTGTATTTTAGAGGGAGCATGTATCTGGATTTTAAAAATCCATTAAGTCAGTACTTTGCTTTTTAACTGGTAAGTTTCACCTATTTGTACCTATTGTAATCATTGATACGCTTGGACCTGTTTTTACCATGTTAATTTACTGTTTTTACCATGTTAATTTACTGTTTTTGTGTGTCCTACTTTTTCTTTTTAATCTTTTCTTACTATTTCAAGAATCTTATATATGTCTCTTCCTTCTAACAAGAACCTAGCATTTCTTCACATCACCGGTGCCCTTTCCCTTCTCCCCCACATCCCATCCTGTTAACGTTATCTAGACTTTTAATTCGGCATTATTATGGGCATATTTTCTCTTTTTCTTTGATCCTAGTAATTGTTAAAAAAAATCACTTTTAATTGTTTAAAAATAACTTCATGTGTTTATTGCAACATCTTCTGGACTTTTCCTCTTCCCCTTTTAAAGTATTATGTCAAATACTATTTTCATTGTGGGTTTTTGCGTGGCAAACTTCTGAGGCTATATGCCTGAGGATATACTTGTTTTTTTTTTTATCATGGCCTCACATGTGAATGATAGCTTGGCTGGACAGAAAATTCTAACTTCTAATTTTATTTTCTTCATAACTTTGAAAATATTGCTCCAGTGTTGGCTGTTGAAAACTCTGGTGTCAATCTGATTCTTCATCCTTGACTGAAAGCATTTATTCCTGTCTGGAAGCTATTAGAATTTTCTCCTTGGTCTTCTTAATTTTGACTATAGCATGGTCTAGGTGAACATTTTTCTTTATCTCTTATCTTTAGCACTCCACAGGCACTTTCAATCCAAGATCTTTCATCTCTTTACTTTTATTCTGGAAAATCTAACTTCATTGTTTATTTCTCCCTTCTACCCATTTTTATTTTTTCTTTCATTTCCTTCTGGGATTCCAGTTAAATGTATTATTTTATTACCCTAGGAACTACAGTATACACTTCTTACAGTCAAAAGTTAATGTGTCTTGACCCTTCTTCTGGGTAGCATGAGGGCCTACGAGAAGTTTCCCTCCATTTACTCCTCTTCTGACTTAAGTGATTGTACAATAGTGTTCTAAAATTAACCCCCCACCAAGACATTATTATTCTTGTTTATTCAGCGCTCATTTAGATTCACATAATTTTTGTTCTTCATTCATTCATACATCTTAGATCTTTCATCTGGGATCATTTTCCTTCTGCCTGAGGTATATCCTTTAGTGCACGTCTGCTGGTGGCAAACTGAGTTTTTGTTTGCTTGAAAATGTCTTTATTTCAGCTTCATTCTTTAAAGATGGCTCCCTGGGTGTATAATTCTAGGCTGGCAGTGAGTCTGTTTCAGCACATGGAAGATATCATTTCAGTGTCTTCAAGCTCCCATTATTGCAGGTAAGGAGACAGCTGTTGGTCTGCTGTTCCTCAGAAAGTGTCTTTTTAAACTCTGGCTGCTTAATATTTTTCTCAGGTTTAGTTTCAAAAGTTTCACTGTATAGACTTAGGTGTAGAAAATTCTCTGCTATTCAGATATTGTCTCTCTTTCCCTCTGGGACTCTGACTAGGAGTATGCTAGGCCCTGCTCTCAAACTTTCTGTGTACTCAAATACTGAAGGGATCTTATCAAAATGCAGATTTGGCTTCAGAAGTTCTGGGGGAAGATTCTGCACACTAACAAGCTCCCAAGGGATGCTGGTGAGCCTGCTCCAGGGACCTCACTCTGTGTCACTAGGTGGTAGGCCTTCTCACTCAAACTTCTCGTCTTTTCCAGGTATTGTCTCTTTAGGCTGCAGTTTGATCATTTCTCTGACCTATATTCAGTTGATGGATTCTCTCTAGTAAACTTTCTATGGAGTTCCCAATTTCAGATATTTAATTTTTCCTTTGTAGAATTCCTATTTGTTCTCTTTGGAATCTGCTGTGCCACTTTCTGTAGTTTTCTGTTTCCTGCAGTTATTGTCAAGTTAGGTTTTTACCATCTGACAGCTTTACGCTGACTTGCTGTTGCGTGTCTGGCTTCCGTGCTGGGGTGTCAGCTGCACTGCACTGTTCTCCACCCACGTGTGGACTGAACCCTCCCGACCTCCTGTGCCTGTCACTTGCTTCCTGCCCAGCTGGGAAAGGTCCTCTGCCTATCTACTGCTCACTTGCCTCCTTTTCTGTCCCTTGACCTTGCCCTGTATGCTGTGGAGGGCATACTCACGGCAGCGGGTATTTCTTCCACAGCGGCTTGGCCGGCAGGGTCTGGTACACCGTCTTCTGCTTCCCATCGGGGTTGGGGCTGCTGGGGCTGCTCTGCACGATCTTAGAGCACTCCATCTGTTCATCCCACGAGCCTGACAGCACATACTGGGCCTTGCCCTGGCTGTCTGTCACCACTCCCGTCACCTGTGGACAGTGGCAGGACCAGCATAGGTGCATGCCCCGCTCTGGGCCCCCTAAGGTTCTCAGAGGTGGCCCTGCTTACCTTTCGGGCTGCCTCTTTGGAGAAGTAGCTGTAGGGCAAAAACTTCAGCTGGCAGCGGTCATTGGTCTTATGGTTCACAATCTCAATGTCCCCTGACTAGAGAGAGGGTTGTGGTCAGCAGTCAATCTCTGGGCCATACACCCCATCCCTAGGGGCTCCCCTGACCTGGTCGATCCAGAGCTTGCCCACGATGATGTTGTGTACGGTTGAGGTGCTCTTCCTCCACACGTAGTGATTCCCACTGGCCTGGAATTCTAAGTGGATGGCACCTGGAGGCCAGGTACAGGTCAGAGGTCATGGTCCCCCCATGTGAGGCTCTGGCCAGCCTGCCCACAGGCCCAGTGTCTTGAGATCCAGAAGGAGTATTCATGCAAACTGGGGTGGGGGCACAGGCCAGAAGCCTGTTGGGAAGAGGAGAGGAGACCTGCAGGGAGGTCTCTGGAGGCCCTAAGAAGGATTTTGGGTGGGCAAAATCCTCCCTCTTAAAAACGTCCTTCTGTCCCAGTACAGCACAGGGCCCCAGCTCACCCAGTGGCATGATGGAGAGGTACTTCCCCCTGAACTTGCTGGAGATGGTGATCTCCTGCCAGAGGCTCCAGCCGTGCTTGGAGAACACGTAGTGTGCAGCCGAGGGTGGGTGGTGGCTCACCTGGAAATAGACCCACAGGATGTAAGCATCTGCTGGACATGGCCCAGGCACCACCTCCCCTGGCCAAGGAGGGGCAGCCTGCTCTGCCCCCAGTACACACAGCTCCGTGGCCACAAAGCCAAGACAAGCCCCTGGAAGGACAGTGCCCTGAGTGGCAAAGAAGCCTGGGTGGCTGTGCCGAACCTGTCCCAACCCATGTGAGCATAAGATGAGGGTGTGGGTGTTTCAATGCCTGGCTCTCAAGCTGCAGAATGGGGATGATGGTGGAGACTGTGTGGCAAGGACGTGACTGTGACGAGCTGTGTTGAGAGCTAATAAAGCCAGGGGTCCTGCTTTTCTAAGGGCTTCATGCCCACTTTCTCATATCTTCCTCACCATGTGCCTGGAAAGGGGTATGTCTGTTGTGCTGTGTTACAGAGGGGACCCAGACTGGCAAAATCATCTTAACCTGGGGACAGAGTCAGGCCCTGCCTCCCAGCCAGCCTGGCTGCAGAGTGTCAGGGTCCTGCCTTGGGCCTCATCTGTCACCAAGCCAGGGTCCCCAGCACCCCCCACGCCTTCCTCTGGCAGCATAGGGCCCTTCCTGTTGCACTGACCATGCCAGCAGCTCTCCCTTGTCTGTCCTTCCTCATTTCACAACTCCTCCACCACCACAAGGCCCCAGGTGCCACCTCTCCCCAGTCTGCTCACTCCCTAGGACAGCTCATGGTCTCATGGCCTTGGCCCCGAAGACCAGCTGTCCCCTGACACCTCCACTCACATAGGTTCAAGCTGACCAGGGAAGAGCCGAGCTCCTGACATGGTCTCCTGTCTCCTGTCCCTTCCTATGCCTTAGAAGTGCAGGCCCACCTGTCGATCTCCTGTCCCTGAGCCCAGTTGTCACCTGTGGCTGGGGCTTCCACGTGTATCCTAGAACCACTCCCACAGGCAAATGCAGGGACGTGACCCCAAGGCCCTGGAGCTCTGCCTCATCTATGCGTCTACCTCAGGCCCAGCACCCAGTCCTTCCAGCTGCTCACACCAAATGCTGTGGAGCTCCCCGGCCTCTCCTTCTCATGTCCCTCATGTCAACCTGAGCACATCCTATCTGTTCCTCCTTCAAGATGCATCCAGCATCTGCCCCTTCTGCCACTCTCACCCCCTCCTCCCCAGGCCTCCCTGTGGACCACTCTCCCCATCGCAGCCAGAGGATCCCCACAGACCTCATCAGGGCACTGGGCCTCTCCATGCACTGCCTCCCACGCAGTCAAGCCAGAGTCCCTGGCTGCCTGGCCCCTCCTCTCCATCCTTGTTGCCCTCTTTCCTCTCCTCACTTTCTCTGCTTCAGCCAAACTGCTCCCTGCTACCCCCTTTCTGAAAGAGCCAGAAGCATCCAACATACACAGTAGCTGCCCCCCCCACCGCCCCATCCCATAAGAACAGGAGCCAAGTCTGGTCACTTCCCGGGGCACCCTCAACGCCTGAACAGCACCTGGCACATTGAGGCACTTCGTTTGTGGAGTGAAGAAATGCATTTACTTAGTGGTTCAGACTGAGGACCATGGGGTCACCTTTGATTGCGCCCAACCCCCCACATCCAAAGCGTCAGCAGCCTGCTGGTTCTACCTTCAAAACCTGTCGTGGTCTGGCCTCCCACCTCCCCGTGCTCTGGCCACCACACCCCTGCGCAGGTCGCTCCTAATGGGTCCTCACAGCAGCCACAGCACGCCTTTTAAACCAGCTACTGGATCTGTGAACTGTCTGCTTTCTGTGCTAACCCCAGGAGCCAGAGCAGTGCCAGCACCAAACAGATTTGCCACTTTTCCAACAAGGACACCCAGGCTCAGCGTCAGGATGCCACTGCTGAGTCCCCCAGCCCGTTGGGCCTGGGTCTTGACCATCTCTGTGGGGAAGGGACAGAGAAGGGGTGGAGGGGACAGAGGCTGCTGCCACTGTCTAGTGTGGTGTCCATCCTGACACGCATGGCCTAGGCTCCTCCTGCCTGCCACCATCCAGCACAGTGATGACCCCATGCTCCAGCTGCCTGGACTCCCCAACAGTGCTCTGCAAATGTCCTCTGCTCTATGGTTCCCTGGCCAGGAGACATGTGCTCCCCTTTCCTGCACGCCAGGCCCCACTCTGTCCTCATCCAACTCTCCACTCACACCCCTTGCTGTCTCCAGGAGGTCTGGACCTGCCTCTGCCATGAGAGGATGGCTGGACCTCAGCTTGCGGCCCCTTGGGCAGGAGGAGCTGGGGTCAGAGGACATGTCCCGTACATTTCGCTTTGACTCCCAGGCTAGGCAGGAGCAGCTTGGCCAGAGTGTGAGCCCGCACTGTCCAGCACCAGCCTGGCAGGCCTCACCTGCTCGCAGAGGGAGCGCAGGCCCATGTCATCGAGGCGGTCCAGCTCGAAGGTCTCACCCAGCATGGGGTTGAAGGGCTTGGCGATGCGATGCACGGTGGTGGAGTAGGAGGACACGGAGAAGGCGGCCACTAGGCACATCTGCTCCACCGAGCTGGTGCAGTGCACCGCCTTGTCCAGCAGGTGGTGGTACTCCAGGTCCTCAGTCAGCCGCTGGAGCATGGACAGGGGCTCGTTAAAGTTCACCTGTGGGCAGGCAGGTGGGCGGTCAGGCCGGGCGCCAGAACCTGGCGGGGCACAGCACCCTTGCTTTCTCAGACAGGGCACGGTTCCACTCCCATCTCACTCCATCCTCCCAGACACTCTAATGGGGGTGCTGCGATTCTCCTCACTTTGCACATGTGGACACAGTGGCTGGAGATGTGAAAGGACTCATCCTGGGTCACACAGCAAAACTGTCTGGCCTGGAGCCCTGAACCCTTCCTTGGTGGAGATGCCACTGCAGCCTGGTGGCACAGAGGTCCCAGCTCTGCCCTCGGCCTGCTGTGTGACCTGGCTGAGCCTCCAGCTCCTGGGGAGGGCACCAGGGATGGCTTATCTCCTCTGCACACACACAGCCCACTCCTGCTGCTTCCCATCTACAGAACTGGGACAGCCAGGCCATTGTGAGCCCCGGTCAGGTCCAGAGATTCTCTGGGGTTCTCCAAGTCTCTGATCCATGTAGAGAACCCTGGTTCCTTCCCTCGGAGCCTGAAGACCCCTGCTCTTTGGGGGATTGGGCAATGCTGATGAACACGGTTAGCTAATTAGGGTCATGCTCCTCAGGTGCCATTAGGAAAATGCCACCCCAGGGATGTGTTTACTTCACACGGGCCCAGAGGACCCACCTACCGGCATGGGGATCCTGGAGAGCTCCCGGCCGATGCAGTTCTTCATGATGCTCCAGAGGTTAAGGCTGTAGTTGGGCTTGTTGGGGATGCGGACTCGCCTCTTGACTTTGGATGTACTCTTGGGTACAAGCGAGGCACCATCTAGAATCTGCGGGGAGGCAGAGCACACCTGTCAGCGGAGGCCGGAGCTCCCCGTCGGCCCTCTAGGCCCAGCCCTCACCTCTGACCCTCTGAAGACTGGCACCAAGCCAGCTGCTGGCACACTGCTGGTGGGCACGACAGGCTGGTTTTGCCTGAACTGTGACAGGAGGCAGATCAGGGACCCAAAGGCAGCCACAGAGCTGGACCTTCACCCCTCAGCTGCCTGGAGCCTGGCCGCAGGTCAGGGGTCACCTCTTGGCTCTTGGGCGCTCTCACCTCACTTACATTGTCTGCCGAGGTCCAGTCTACAGAGCCTGTTCTGTTTCCACCTTCAGCTTTCCTGCAAGAAACACAGAAGGGAAGACAAGTTACTGACAAATCCCGAGGCCTCCTGGGGACCTTGCCCATCTTCTCTCCAGACTTCTCAGTGAGGTCTGAGGGGCAGCCCTGTCCCCAAAGCTGCTTTTCCAATGGGGGCATCTCCAATTCAGACACTCAAGGTGGGGGCTAAGGGGCCCAGGGCACTGGTTTGGAGATGCCCCCACCCACTGATGCCATCAGCAGCAGCTGCTCAGCACTGCCCTTGTCTGGGTCCCTGTACCACCCCCTCCAGGGCACTGGCTGATTCAGGACCAAGATGAGGTGGCGATGGGATTAGGGGGTAGGCCCCCTCCTCTGAGCTTCGTAGAACCCGTGGGCTTCTTCCTGTCACAGACAGACTCTACTGTGTCCTTACTGTCTGCTGGTCTGACTTCCACACTAGACTGGGGGTCCTGGAGGGCAGGAAGTGGGTCTAGTTCATCTCTGTGCCCCTGAATACTCATGGTGAAGATGGTCGGCCACAGCAGCAGGGGGTGCTATGGCTGAGGGGCCCAGCTCCGTGGGAGCCCTATGGAGGGGTGACCTGGGCCACTGGGACCGGGACAGGGCACTTGCAGTCAGGGCTTGAGAGGATGGAAGGAATCACCTGGTCATTAGGGGAGCCCAGAGGCTCTAGGCACTAAAGGGAAGAGTGTGGGCCAGGGGCAGCCTGAGCAGGACCTTCCTAGCTGCAGACCCCAGAGGGTGATGCTGCTGGTGATAAGGTGGAAGGAAGTTCAGAACTGCCAAGCCAAGCTAACTTTGAGAGCAATATGAGCAATTTAAACACGTTACTGGGAAACAGAAAATGATTCTGAGCAGGAAATGCACTGCCGATGGGACTGGGGAACTCCCTGAGGGCTAAGAGAAATCTGAACAGCCCTTTTTCCCTGGAAAACTCTAGGACAGGAAAGTGATACGTGGGTCCATGGAGGCCACAGCTCCCAGTGGAAAAGGAGCGGTCAGGAATTTTCACCAGGCCCAGCCTGCCTGCCTGCCTGCTCGCGGGTCTCACGCTCTTCCTTCCTGGCACGGGCCACACCTGCAGGCATTTCCTGTGGATCTCAAGAGAGTCTAACCACATGGTTTGCATTGCTAGTAAATGTCCCGCTCACTACTGTGTGTTCTAATGTGCATTTAAAACATCCTGAAAGAGCAGGCTTGTATGAAAAATGACACAGAGACTTGGAAATAGAAAATAAGAGACTTCCTGCATCTCTCGTCTGTTCCCGAATGCTGACATGGTGGGTGGTGTGCAGCTCAAGGCAACAATGAGACAGCGGGACCTTCTGGACCCCAGCCCTTGGGCCCAGCCCCACCCCCATTCCCAGGCTGGAACTGGAGCCAGCCAATGCCCTGTTCTCTATCTTCATTTTAAATTAAAATCCTGATACAAACTTTAGGCATTTTTTATTTAAGGAAGAACAGAATCTAAGCAAAAATACCATCTGGAGCAAGACTTAAAAGAAAGAAAACCCTGAGTATATAGCTGGTAAAAAGACCAGATGGGGCCTCAGAACAAGGCAGAAAAGGCTGACCTGGGGGGAGGCTCCTCCCAGGCCGCAGCTGCCCCTGCTGGGGGTGCGCCCACCTGTCGTCCTTGTCCTCGGTGATCACGGTGATGAAGGACGTGGAGTCTTCCATGGCATCAAAGTACTCGGTATCTTCATCTTCCTCGCTGTCCTCTCCTTTGGGAGTCAAGAGGCTTCCTAAGGACACGCAGAGCCATTGCCTTAGTTGGCAACTTCGAGAAAGGCTTGTCCTGCCTGCCCGAGGAAGTCCAGAGCCAAGGGCTTCTTCCCCGCCATCTAGCTCTGCCTGCCCTGGCTGGCCACTCGCCTCCCCGCTTCAGTCACCCGGCCCCAATCACCCTGCGCTGCGGCTACCCCGCTCCTTTGCTGGAATGTGCTTTCCTGTCACTGCACTCATGGCTCAGAGGCCTCCTTCTGGAAGCCTCCTCTGATCTCTCAAAATGTCGTCAGTCTGTTTGTGCCCCAGCTGCCCTTTCTGACGGACCCCCTGCCCAGGGTGCCAGTGACCTCCAGCCCCAGGTTAGGTGGGCAACCACCTGGCACCAGGCAGCCCTGCCACAGAGGGGACAGCCGGGCTCCTAGAAGAACCTAGGTGCAGGGAGACTGTTGCCAGTCAGTGATGGGCATATGGGACACACAAAACCACGGAGAGGCAGGCCAGAGTTGGCCAAGACAAGCCCAGATGTGGGCACATCCAGGGCATGTGTATGGGGGTGCACAGCAGAAACTGGGTCCACAGAGCCAGCTGGCAGAGAGGGAGGCTGAAGGTCGAGTGACAGCCAGGCAGCCCTCGCCCACTCACCCTCGCTGAAGCTCTCGGCGGGGTTGGAGGACCGGCCGGGGGCGCTGCGGAAGGCCCGCTCGAGGCTGTTGTGCTGCTTGGCTAACTGCTCGATGGTCTCCTCCAGGTGGACGCGCTGCTCCTGCTCATACTGCAGCGCCCGCTGCCATTTCCGGCTGTGTATCTCTGCTAGTTCCAGGAAGTCCCTGCAGGCCTGGGGAGAGAGGAGTGGCTGTGTGAGCCCCGTGCCTCAGGCAGGGGACCATCTGCTCCCACCCTCCACACTCCTGCCACCAGCTGCAGGGGCAGTGACGAAGGCCCTGGGAGAGGCATCCAGCCTCCCCTCCCTTTGTCAGGCTGGTCAGAAGCAGGTTCACGGTCCCCTTTGGCCTCTGTGGGGACATGGGAACCCTGGCCTTCTCAGAGCCAGCCCAGGGACTGGCATCCACCCTGGTTGTCCTCAGTCAGGATGCTATTTGGAGAGCACCAAACCTGGGCATTGCTGGTCAACATGCTGCCTCCCCAGCAACAGCCTCCAGAGCTGGAGTGCTATGGTCTGAATGTTTGTCCCCTCCAAAGCTCACGTGGAAGATTGACTCTGCTGTGGCAGTGTTTAAAGATGGGGCATTTGGGAGGTGAGTGGATCATGAGGGCTGTGGATTAATCCACGCATGGGTTAACGGATTGATAGGCTAATGGATGAGAAGGTTATTTTGGGAGAGGCACTGGTGGCTTTATAAGGAGAGTAACTGAGCACGTTAACACGCTCTGGCTCTTGCCCCTTGCCATGCGATGCCCTGCATCATCTCAGGACTCTGCTGAGAGTCCCCACCAAGAAGAGGGCCCTCACCAGCTGCATCCCCTGGACCTTGAACTTCCTAGCTTCCACAACTGTAAGAAATACATTTCATTTCTTTATAAATTACCCAGCTTCAGGCATGCTGTTACAAGCAATAAAAGTGGACTAACACGTAGAGGGTGCTGAGTTCTGGCTCCTCATGGCTGGAGCCCGAGCCCTCCACTGCCACATTCTCACTGGCCCCTATCCCCATTGGGACCCAAGGCAGCTCTGGCAGCTCAGGCCAGTCCCTGGCTTTGGCAAAGAAAGAAGAAAAGCCACATTCTGCTATACTACACAGCTCAGAGAGGAAACAGATCTTGTTTAGCTGAACTGAGACTGGAACTTTCCACCAAGTTACCTCATAGTTTGTATCATGTGACTCTTTTAAGTTTCCCCCTTCAAGATTGTGGCCTACTATGACATCCAGATTCTTTCAGCTTTGTAGGTTCACAGGTGGTCCTATCACACTCTTCTGACAGGGACAGCCATCCTGCCTCTGTCGTGACAGTGGAGAGGAAGGCCAGGTCTCAGCCATCCCTGGCAGGCAATGAGGTCCAAGCCACGGACCTCTGGATCTGCCCTTTCTGGAAGGGCACTCCCAACCTAGAGCACCCACTGGCCTCCACACACGTCACACACTGCCCAACCCCGAGGGTCACAGACACTTTCCTGGAGGAAAACAGGCACACGGGCCTCATCTGTGACACAGGGACAAAGCAGCACTACCTTAAAAGGCTGTCGGAAGCAGGGAGGTGATGTGGAGCACTGGGAGAGGAGTGCTTGACAGATGTGCCCTCGGGGACTGCCACCGGCTCCTGCACAGGCACCTCTAATCACTAATGCCCGATGCTCCTCAGACCTCTCTCAAGTCTCCCCCAGGAAGCCACCTGGACCTGCCTCAGTCAGGCCTGCCTAGACACTTGCCCGTGTCTGCAAGTTTGGTTAACTTCTTTAGCAACCGTGCCTGTTTCTCTACATCATAACCCACTTCCCACAGCATCCCTGAAGCTCAGCACATGCTCAGAAGGTTTGCTGGCTGAGTGGTGCCCTAACAGGGAGCTGGGACTGATGGCAGTGGGAGTGAGCGGAATGAGGGATATGTCCTGGGGCACAGATCAGCAGGGACAGGTCAGCACCTCAGGGCAAGGGGCCCCCTGCCTGGGCCCAGCTGGCTTGCCCACCCCACAGGGAGAGCCTGAGCCTGGTGGCTGGCTTGGCTTGGTGGAAAGGGCCCCTAATGTAGGGCTCCAGAGGCTGGCTGCTCAGCCTGCCCCAGGCATGCCACTCCTTTAACAAGCCCTCCTCCAGGCACCTTCCCTCCAGCACCTCGTTCCCAGCACCCATGCTGAAGATATGGCAATGGGGCCTGGAGACATGGCATGACCTGCTCAGGGAAACCAGCAAAGTGTAGTGGAAAAGGGCACATTATCAGGAGTGGGGAGGCCTAGGTGCCGGAACAAGCCACTTAGCCCCTCTGAGCCCTGTCCTTTCTGTGAAATGGGAACAGAAACGTCCAACAGACCCTGCGCTCATGGGCTGTCCTGTCTCAGCTCACCCAGCAAAATCCTTGAAGTAGGAGGGGCGGGATCATCCCCATTTGACAGATGGGGAAATGGAGGCTCAGTTCCCAGCAGCTCCCCCATGAAAGAAGCAGGCTCCCTGAAGGAGGCACATTCACTCCAAACTCAGGTTTAGGGCTCTCCCCACCTTCCCTTGAAGGTCTGGGTGCTGGGCCCTGCCTGGCCACACCTAAGCAGGGATTAGTTGACACAGGGTGGGGTGAGGGTGGGGAGAGACCTTCTTGAGGAAGGAAAGAAATCTCCTTATCTTATGTGCTTAACGGGCTCCTGAAGATGGGGAGAGGCTACGACCAGGGCAGTTGAAGGTCTGGGGCTATTTTGAGCTTGCAAATTATGGGTTCATAAGGCTCCCCCATGGGTGTGGAGCTGCAGTCACGGGCTACCATGCAATTTGGAGACCCAGTGGTGGGTCTGGGTGGGCCCCGGGAGAGCCAGCTCCAGGCCTGCCTCAACAGCTCCCTGGCCTGTGGCCAGAGCCAGGTCTCTCACCACTCGGGTCCTACAGTGGCCTGCCTGCCTCACCCACAGCCCCTCCCTTCCTCACTGCTGTAGGCCTCGGAGTGGGGACCCTGACAACAGACACAGGGACAGACCACCCCAACTGCCAGACCAGAAGGCATCTCTTTGCCGGTTCTGCCCCAGTGAGTATAAGGGGCAGTGGCAGGTGAGGGGCAGTGTATCCCTCTGGGTGCCTCAGGAATGTTCCAGACCCTTACAGGAGCCCTGTGAGATGAGTGGACAGGACAGAGACCCCCACCCCATTCCACAGATGGTGAAACTGAGGTTCTGAAGTCACACAGCAAGGTGGCAGCAGAGCCAGATCCAGAACCCATGTCCTCGACCCAGAGCTCAGTCCGCCTCCTACCCTGGCTGCTGTTCCCATGGCCCTTTACTTGGCCCTGGTATCCAGTCACGCTAGTCCCAGTTCCTGCTACCTGTTTGCTGACCAAGGAAAAAATCCCTGACACTGCTGTGCTGCTGTCACTGGGCTACTGGGCAGCTGTGCTGCTGACCAAGGCAAGTTGCCAGGCCCTGCCGAGCTGGCCTCATGGCAGGGGTGGGGTGCATGCAAGCAATTCTCAGAGGAACGCTGATGCTGGTGGAGGAGAAGCTCCCTCAGCTCCGGGCAAGGTGCCAGGCAGGATGCTTCAGGGAAGCCGCTTGCCGGTTCCTCCTGTTCCCTCTGTGCCCTCTGAGACTGAGGCCCAAGGAGAAGAGGCCGCCCAGGTCTACAAGGGGAAAACTGGATGGGACCCTGGGTCTGCCTGGTCCCAGCACCATGCTCCCCCCACACAGCCAGGCCCCCTCCACACAAGCCACAGTCCCCTTGCCTGCCAACCTTGAGCGAGGGTACAGAGGCCAGGGCTGTCATGCATGGAGCCCTGTGACAGGCAAGAGATAACAGATGCTTCATAGTTTTCTGGGTTCTTGCTGATGTGTGGGTGCCCTGCCCCTGGTCTCTGGCCTCTGGCTCTGCCCTCCACAGCCTCCATAATCAGCTGTTGGTGAGTCTGAACACAGCTGGGCACTTTGCTTTCACATACCTCATGTCATTTAAAACAAGACTCATCAAACAGCCACCTAACAACACTATGAAATGGTAGCCAAAAATCATGGCAATAATTCCCACAAACTCACATCAGAGGGCGTCTGGGCTTCCTAGCAGCAAAAGCAAAAAGGGAAAGATGATCATAGAGCGAAGATGAATTAGGCTTCCTACCTCCCATCCTCGCTGTTCATGGGCTCTAAATACTTTAGAAATGACCACTTTCTCCTCCGAGAGGAAATTCAGAGTTTATTGTGTTTCCCATAGACACAGGTGGCTGACAGCCTCTCACAGACCTGACCCTAAATGCCCTCTAGCCCCCTTTCTGAGCCCCATTCCTCCCCATACCCTCAAATATGGCCCACTAGGTTCTGTGTCTTCCTGCCCTTTCCTGGGTCAGTCCCAAGCACACCGCTTATTCTGATGCCGGTCCCACCACCCTCACGCCTCACACCTACTGTGGGTCAGGGCTGTTGGGCATTGTCACCAGCACCAAGGTAGCCCTTTCTGCAGTGAAGGTGATGGAGAAGGAATGCAGGCTCAGGAGCTTGCCCAAGGCCACAGGAGATGTGTGTGGAGCCAGGGTCTGAGGCCCTGTGTCTCCCAGGGCATGGGTCTAGCGCTGTTACAATTTATTTTGTAAAGCTGGATCTCTGTCGCTCTCTGGGAGCCCCTTGAAGACAGGGAGGTTGTGGGATCCTGTGGCCTTCCTGGGGTGGAGTTGGGCTCCCAGGAGACACTCACTAACAAGGATGTCTGGGAATGATCCTGTTCAAGCAATTGGACCCAACCCTGGCCTCAGGGAGAAGGAGCTGCCCCCCAGCACTCTTCTCCCCAGCTGAGGACTTTGCTCACATGGACAGGGCTGCTGGCCAGTACCCTGGCCACGTGTGACCTCCATCCACCTCACAGCTAGCAGGGCCCACTGGCACAGTGCAGCGGGGAGACAGGAAGTCATATGCCCTGGGATGGCTGGGGCCACATGTGACTAGGCTGGGCACATGCAATTGTATAGTGTCACGGTTACCTGAAGAGGGGGTCAGGGTGGAAGCTGCTACACCCTAATGTCAAGGGGCTCATGTGGCTGGACCCACGGCTTTTGCCACTGTCGCTGGATCGGGGCCACCTACAGCAGGTGAAATGCCCTGGTTACCCTATGGACTGCAGAGACCCTGTCTGTCCCCTCCGCCCCTGATGCACCCACCTGGTGTCCATCCCCAACTCCCACGGTCTCCTCTGCCGCTGGG